ATGTTTCTTAATCTCGTTTCCAGACCCCTTATTTACATTTCATATATAGTTTTCAAAAATTGTAACGGTCTTTATTCCACTTTTGAAAATGTATGTTGCATAGCATACGAAACGTCAAGTTATCAAAATGCGTAAGTTTAATATGTTTATCACCGCTATTTGTGTTTTATTCCTCGTTAAACTACGATGGCCCAAGAACAAAAGCCTTTATGATACATTTAATAACATTACATCTTACAAATGAATGTTGTATTAACTAAACTCTCCTCTTCAATTATCCTAACGATCTTTAAACCCAAACAAGCATCTTTCGCACAAAAAAGACACACAACTAAGAACCACACATGTAAATAATCATACCTCTTTGTAAGCTTGGCAAGTGACTGCCCTGGTGGCTGCTGGGTAAGCATCCAGAATAATCACTGTCACTTTACTCTCTGCGACACTATTGACGTACGTTTTAGCATCCAGGTCCCCATCGGACGGCATCTCACGTGACAGCACTTGAATTCCATGTTTAGTCAGAAATTCGGTGCGAGATCTGACTGTGTTAACTGGGTACTTTGCTTCGCGCAAAATCGCGCAGTGTTTCCATTTAAACGCGCGAAAGACCGACAAATATGCTAACTTAAACTCGTCGATGCTCGGATTCGTTCGGAAAAACAGCGGAAATCGCGTCCTATCAGACAGCGACACGTCATCAGCTCCGTAACCCATTAGAATCGTGTTGTGGAATCGCGACACTTCGGCGATTGGAAGTGTGGCTTTGCTGCATGCAGGACCTACAATACCAATTACCTTTTGTGACTCGTCACGATTAAGATATCTCACATAAGCTGGAATAACGAGTTCCCTTCTACACTGAGTTGGAGCAACGAGCAACTCAAGCCTGCAACGATTCAAAATATTTATATCTTTGTTAATCTCCTTTACAGCCAATTGGGCTCCGACTTCAACTCCAGGACTTGACCAAATTGCTTTGGGTTCCACGAGGCTTGGAAACATCCCTCCAATTAGCACAGTTCTCTTGACGCTAGTTTCTGCTTGTATCCATGGCAACCAAACGTCACGTGACTTATTTAGCCAATGGCAGACGGAATCGTTTATCGACGTATTGTTTCGAGTTATGTTGATTTGTTGAAGTATATCAGCGATGTGTTCTCTTGTAAGAGTGATGGCCCTTACCAGTCCGTAGATATCTTTGTAGCGGTTCTGTATTTCTTTCCACACAAACTTACGCAGATCGTACATGGGAAAATCGCACCCTCTACAGGTTTCACTCGTGAGATTTTTCATCATATCATTCCAAGGAAAACTGAAAATGGAATTATAACACCTGATAAGTAATTTGAAAATCATTTCAAATGCACATGTTGTAGAAACTTTACTTATATGAACGACATTCTGAAAGAGCCAGACTGAAAGGTAGACAAGAAAGTAGCTTGCCACACTCTACTTTTGTCGATACCGTGGAAAACAACTGGTTTGCGCGCAAACTGTACAGACGACATTATACCCAGTAGAACAGTTCTATTGTCTGGTCGCCTCCTTTTCAACAACGCCTAAAAATATCATGAAGACGAACTATATTAATTGCATAGAGGGATTGGTAACGACCTTCATAATTACCTGCAGTCAGGGAAGGTAATCCTCCTGAACTTGTCCGAAGTTGTTAAAGGGTCTGGGTCCCAGGCGTAAAATAGCAATGGTTTCCCCTTTGCTTCGTTCTCTAAAACCTTGGCGTCCAGGCTCTTCCCGAGCCATGTCATAGACACGTTCAAATGAAGACTTGTAATCTGGCCCTCGACCAAAACCTCGCTGGCGTTATCTGTTAGATAGGGTTGAAAAAGATCAACTGAGACTGAATAATGCTTGAAATGTTCGAGATTGAATAGAGGGAACAAAGAAGCGCTTGCATAACAAGATTAATGCAAAATCGTATGTTGAGAAAAATACATGTCCTTAGCATGGTGCTGTTTGCTATGTTAGCGCCAAAATTCCCTAATGTCCAAAAAAAAAGTTATTTTGTGGTATTTTTTTTTTACAAATATCATTAGTTTTCACTTCAGCACTCCTTTCAGAATTCTTCATTTTGAATTAACTTTTTCACTCAAAAACATAAAAAAAAGAACAAGCGCGAAAAAGCCGGGGTTCTGAGAGAGTTGAGAAACTGTGTACGCTAATTGGAACTCTCGTTAATCTCCAAAACACTTTGTCTTACGAAACAAAGTTCTTTACCTTTGGCAGGGTTTCTTTGAATGTTGATAGTTGTATAACTGAATATCATAAGATCTTCCCATCAATATTCTAGTTCAGTCCCCCCTAATCAGAACTCAGAGCAGAATGGTCGAGAGAAACAGGGCCCGATGAAGAGAAAAGCTAGGAAAACAAACATAAGAAACGGAAGAATACTCTCTGAATAAATACCTTTATGTCCAGCCAGCAAAGCAACACATCTCGCTCCGGTATGGTTTTGTTGAGAACACTGCGGAGGGTTAAACTCGTGTTCTATGCAGGCTTGACACGTGACCAATTTCGAGGCAAGGGACAGTTGCTGCAGTACTACAGGCAACTGTAGGGCTCTCCAGTGGTCAGCAGGCTGATGATGAACAGTCCACACACGGTCTGCAAAATCAGCGGTTGTATACCAACCTTGTCTGAGAAAAAAAACTGCGTACGTGAGTTGTTCTAAAATAGATTACTTAGAAGTAGGCCGATAATTTGACTGATTTGTAATTTGGTTTAAACTCTTTCAAGAGATGAATTCGAAGTTCCTCTGCCTTGTTTCACTTCCCCAAAGTAAATAGACATAATGTAGCTTAGCTCCCGTGGGGCAAGGGAGGGCGCTTATTAGGGGCGGGGCGCTCAATAGTTTTTGAACATGTACATCTGAACATGGTATCCTGCAATGCCAGTGACAATACTTTAATGAAAAACAACAGAGACTTAAACTCAGGAAACTGTACTAGTAGAGGCTCTGATAACTGTACTATACTCAGTTGAGAAGGAAGACTTGACAATTCGTTCGTCTAATCAGTCTGTTTGACGTCTTGAATATTACTTTTCCATATGGGGTAATTTATTGGAAGGGGGCGCTTAAAACCGCGGCTCTTATCAGAAAGGGCGCGCTTAGTCTCATGCACAAGTGCCAGTTTCTTTTCACATAGATGCTGGCTGATTTCAAAACCCTGATCTCTTCTCCCTTGAACATTAAATATGTCCTTGGAAACAAAACCTATGATCCCAAAGAAAGATTGAATTTCAAAATTCTCAGTGATACTAACGAATTTTAGTAGCTCAAACAAACATGATACAAGAGGTTGATGTGAAATCTTTTTATTTACTTTAGGTCTTCTACGCGTTAAAACGGAAGGCTGAATTCATCAAGTGCTTGTCTCAAACCCACCTTCCCGTGATTCCTAATGATCCGACGTCAACCATCTTTTGACTCTTCACAGGCTCTTCACGGTCAAATGGTACCCAGACCTCTGTGTCAATCATGACTTGAGGAACACCTGGAGTTCTGTTCATAGTATAAGACAGGTATGTTAAACAAAGCTTTAGCGAAATATATTTTGGTCCGTCCTGTTCACTGAGTTCAAATTTACCTTAACTATTCTGGCCACGAAACAGTCGTAGTAGCGTAATCGTCAGGAAATATGTCTTCGCTATACGATAATGAAGACGGATATCTGAATCGACCATGCAATAATTGGCATGGCTCATGAAGGTCTGTGTTGTGATTGGCTGTTGAAGTGCTGTACGTTCTTCGATCTACCCGTAATTGGCGAAAGATGCACTGCATTCGTAATTCTAATTCGCTTCTGATTTGCTGCAAAGATCGGGTAAACCATAGTCTAACACTACAGCGGAATATCCTCCAGTTCCTTTGCAAAAGAACAGAACA